GGGTGACACAAAATCATCTTTCGGCGCCAAGCCACCACCCCTCTAAAGGTCTGACCACAAGCAAACCCAAGGATTGCTTTGGCTCTAAAGGTCTGACCACAAGCAAACCCAAGTATTGCTTTGGGAAGGGGTCACGAGTCTCCAGCAGAGGCTGTGAGTCTGTCCATCCCATCACCACAGAGGATATTCATAGAATCATGGAATTGTCTAGGTTGGAAGGACCTTTAAGACCATCTAGTCCAACCATCAACCTATGATGGGGACTTGTGTCAGATTGGGTTTGGCCATTTCAAGGGATTTAATTAGCAGTTAAAGAAACAGCAATCTGCCTAGTTTAAGCACATTTGGAGAGGTACCTTGCTGTCTTCCTTGGTAATAAACTGTTCTTGGCTAAGGTCATCTTTCATCTGCCCAGTAAATAAAACTGTCAACTGAAGTTGAGTTTCTGTTTCTCATCAGTCAACAATACAATAAAGCTCAGAGCAGCATATTCGGACAATGATTTTGAGAGGGAAGGCAAACGTTAAGGAAGTTTTAGTATAATCATTTCCTCTCAGTTGATCAACATAACAGACACAGTAATTTAGCTAGGGAAATGTGATATAAAGCTTATAAGCCTGATAATCTGATTGTCTTTAGAGACAAAAATCAAGCTGGTTTTCCAGATCTCGCCATACCCTTTTGTTAAATACCTCCCGTCTCTTCACTTAACATCTAAAGAACATTTAAGCAAAAATCCATCAGTTTCAAGGAAAAAAACCAGCCTCCTCTAGCTTGTCTATTTAATTCTAATTCTATCATGTAGGAAGTTTTACTGCTGTCAAGCAATATTTCTCGTCTTTTTAAGACGGAATTCAACTGGAAATATTAAAATATTTTCAACATGCTGCTTATTTTTATCTAGAGGAAGATAAATTATTATATGCATGCAAGTAGTAAAAGCGGTTGCCAGAAAAAATAGGGTTTATTCCCACCATACCTGCAATACATCAACCACCGCATGAAAATATGTCTCTTTCCAGAACAATTAGCCTAATTTGCAGTGACCTCATACAGGCTTTCACTCTGCTGCAGATTATTACTTACCTAAAATATGATGCTTACATTTTTCTAGTGCATTAACAAACAGTATTGTTTGAGGGGGGAAAAATCAGGTAGAAATTCCCTTTGCTCTGTGATTCTTGCAAACAACGTATAATCCTAAACCAGACAAAACACAACGATTCAGGCTGCCAAAGTAAGTATTTACTTTTCCCGATATTCTGATAGCATTTTACGTAAATGCAAAAGCAAACCTGGTACTGCCTGAAATCAGACTCCAGCTCTGCCACTCCTTCCACGCCCGTCTTCTCCCACCACATTCCACTGCAGAAAACCCAGCACATCAGCAGAGCCTTCATAAAAGAAGATGCACACCTTGATCTCTCCAGGGCCTAGGACGTTGTGGGTTTTGTTTGTTCATAATTTTTAAACAGATAGAATAAAGCCTCAATTTCCATTACTATAATATTAAAGATAAATAACAGCGTATGGAAAATGCTAGAAAACCCCTGCTGACAGGTCTACCTCACGTACCTCTTAGCACAATCTAGAATTTACTTTCACTGTTGGGAAAACACTACTTTTTCTTTATGCATAAATCCACCCTCACAACCAGTCGATGGACCTTCCATTAGTCCTAGGTGTTGTTTTGGGGAAGGTTGTCTGCCTGTCAGCTTCAGAGACCTCTCTCCTGCTGTCTTGCAGCTCTGGGTCGTAGCTCTCTGCCTGGGCAGTCACAGGGACATGCACATTGACTTGGGGTACTGAGATCTCCAACAAACCACCATCCAGAATAGCTACATCTAGGAGACTAGGTCCCTATATAGATTCATTGCCAGAATAACTAAAGCTAGAGAAAGTTTTCCCTCAAAGTCTCAAATAAATGACTAAACAAGACCACCTGCTCAGGCAGCACGTTGGGAATGAAGAGCTCCTCGGTTCTGTGTGGAGAGAGGAGGTGTGAAGAGCCTCCCCTAGCACCACCCAGCCCCGTGCCCTGCACCACAAAAGGCACCCTGTGCCCTGTTGGGATCTCATGCTCCAAAGACTCAGCCCCACTTCTGCAAGCGGAAGCCTGAAGAGATTTCCCTAAGAGCAGCATCCTAACGGACCCGCCGGCTGTGACAAATCCCCAAGCTCTTGCACCATGCAAGGTCTGGTGTGATCAGGGCCCAGCAGAAGCCCCAAGTCCTTGAAATGACAACTCACCCAACCCAACCCCAAGTTCTTGGAGATTTCAATTCCTTCACCTCCCGTTCCACTGGGGAGAGAACAGCTTGTTCTATTTCTTAGGAAAAGAGTGCCAAAGATAGGAATATTTATAAGGAATTTGTATCTATCTATCCAAACCCAAACATTCAAAAATCATGACTCACAATCCCCTCCCAAATCCTGGGATTAAATTAACATATCATGGGATTTTGAAAGATGTTGTCTTAAAAATTACGGAATACTATATACTTTGTGTTACTCATTACTTTAGGATATTTATAGGTCAGAAATACAAAGTTTTTATCAACAGTTAAAATAGCCAGAAGCTTACCTGGGGAAAAAAAAAAAAAGTCATCACATATTCATAGGATTCCTGGAGGCTGGACCTTTAAAAATAGTCCAAGTGTTACCATTCATCACATGTAAATTTATGGGACTTGGCAACAATGCAGTTGTCTCCAGGGATGGTGGAAGAGGGGGAGTGCTCTTGGTTAACCTCTTTTTTTTTTGTTTTGTTTTAAATAGATAAAGCATGCTGAAAGTGTCCTAAGTATTTCCTAAATAAGCCCATTGATTAATTTAGAGCACTATGGAAACACACTGCACAGAGAGCTTATCAACGCCCAGTCACTAAATATTTTGACGTTTGTTAACCAAAACTAGATGCATTCTGGAAAAAGACAAACTGGAAAACAAAAATCACAGTTTTTGAAAACTTGTCCTTTCCACGCCTGTTGCCTAGAGCAAATCAGAAGTGGGAAGCCAGGTTTAATAAAAAGTAGATGAGAACAGACCAGTTTTGTAGTGGCCGTTGCTAAAGGCAAAGAGAATTTCATGGGGAAAAAAAAAAAAGCCCTGTATATTAGTTTTTTTCCAAAATAAAAACTAATCTTTAATCAATTTTACAAATCAAAAGATGGTGGATGGAAGGGAAGATTACTAATCTTAGCGTTTTTTTTTCCAGACATGGCCAATGCCACGTCTCAGCCTGGCCTGCAAGAGTTCAGCCTCCTTTTTGCTTTTCAACCCCCCCAGCGCTGGCTGAGGGCTGTTATTACTTTGTGCCTTTGTACCAGAGCCTACAGAACTTCAGTCCTTACCCGGGCGCAGAGCACAGGTGAGGTGACAGAGGCAGCTGTCTGGTGGCATCCCACACCACACGTAGCTTTGCTGCCAGTCACGGCAGGTGGCCCAGGAGCAGCCCCGCCGTCATTCCAGGAGAAGCTCCGCAGCACGACGCTGCGTTTCAGATACCACTGTCAGAGCCTTCCCCTGGCAGGTACCGCATGCCAATAACTGGAGCTGATCTACAATTTATGCTTTTCTGTGTACCAGACTCCTACTCCTGAGGAATATTTACCATCCAAAAACAAAAATACTGCCATAAGGTGTGAATAAAATCAAGTCTCTTTTGTTTAAGAAGCAGCACAGTGACTGGCTGATATTTTCCAACACTGCAATAATTTTATAAACATCTACCAACAGAGCAACTTCCATCCTGTGATGCTGGGATTGTGGCACACTCAGACTCCTGTGTCCTCCAGCTCCGCTCCAGAACAAGCACAAGGGCAACCAGAACAGTCCAACATAGCACTGCATCAGTCACAAAACTCACGGGTCATTTTGATGGCCAAAGCATAAAAAGAAGTTAGTTGAATGCTATTGCTTGCTTTCTTTGTTCTCCCCATTCCAATATGAACATTGAGAAATTTATATTATTCACTTGGTCCTAATTTCAGTGCCCCATCTCTGTGACTATCTGTTCCTCCCAGTGGTTTCTGGGCATCATTATATGCAGGAGTAATGGTAGTTTTTACCACAGGTACCATATTCTTTGTCTTCTGAATATGATTAAGGGAGCACAGTAGAAATCTTTGCAGTGATCATTATCCCTCTACAAAGGACAATCTAACACACTATTTTATACTTAGAAACATATTTTACTGCAAAAAGATAATACTAGGGTACGTGCTGTAAGTAATTCTGCAGTTCAGTACACACATTTGGAAAAAAAATGTAGCGATTTTGTTGATTCCACTCAAACGACCCAGTTAATCTCAGTGTTAACATCAGCTGTCAAAACATCCACTTACCAGATTTGCATCCCTTATTTATTCAGCAAAAAAAGGTGCAACATCCGAGCAGTTACCAGAGAAAGAGAAAATACTACATTGAACTAGTGTTTATGTTTAGTTCTTGTTATTCCAGCCCTGTCTATCACATACTTAGTAGGTGAAAGTCTGTACTTGGAAACACATAAATAGATCAAGGAAGTTCATGTTCATATCTGAAGATACCATTCTTTCCCTGTTGGAATTAAATCCAGCCCAATGAAGACACCAGGAGTGAGAAGCCTGTGCACCGTGTCAGCCTTGGTGTCCTTGGTGCAGCCTTCCAACATGGCCTTTACAACATCAGCACTGGTACCTGTCCCTGCTCCTCCATCCACCATCCCTGCTCTGACGCGGGGACACAATGGGACACAGGACTTCATGCTGGCTGTCTCCAGAGCCAAGGAAACTCTTTAAAGCATACACAGTTCCACCATCCTGGAGATGGTTTTGGCTGCTGCAATGCTTGCTTATCTCAGGTAAAGCGTTCAACTCCTTCCCTGCCTTTTCAGCCACAGAGGGAGGAGAACACATTTCCATTTTCAAGTGTAAAAAAGCCAGAGACAGCAGATCACATCGGCTACATGCCTTCAGCTACACTTTGTACATCAGCTGACATTAACATCTCTGCCTTACCTTTATAGAGGGTATCCATGCTCTCAGTAGGAACCTGCTTCTTGGCAGCTGCCCTGCGATAAACCACGTGCGTCCTGCCTCCTCCCTCCTCCTCCTCCTGGGCCCCTTTCTCCAGAGGTTCAATGAAGAACTCGTCCTTGTCTGTGCGAATCATGCCAGCCTGCAGCGACAGGGCAGAGATCGAACATCTTGCGTTACTGCACATAGAGCAGACGTTGTGAGTAAACAGTTACAATATGCTTAAGCACACTTTAGTGCTCTCCAGAGAGCAATTAGGATGCAGAGAGGAAACCAGGTGAATTCTTTATTAGAACAAAACGAAGCATCGTTTCCCCAACTTGACAAGAAAGGACAAAAGGTACAACCCTGAACCAAAAGGACTTCTCCTCAAACCACACAAGCAAAGTACAGGTCTAAAAATCTGTCTAGGAAATACATTCTCCATTAGAAACCAGCTACAATGAAAGTTACTCTGACCTTAGCTATCTGCCTGTCCCAGACCACTCCAATGTTTACTATCACTGCTGAATACAGGATCAGTTCAGTGCCATAAGCTGGTCCTGATGTGCAGTTTGACAGTCAAAAAATGTGGAGTCATCATCCTTCCTGTTCAGAAGCAAGATGGAAAAGTACTACCATCTTACATGCAGGCAACACAGCTTTGTTATTGTTTTCCCCTTGACTCAAAGGGTTTCACTGACAAAGTGCTCTTTCAAGAGTTAGCCACAACTGGTTTAGGAAAGGTGTCACTAGCTCATTGCTAAGAGATAAAAACTCATTCAGACTGGACCAGACACCCTGGTACGAAAAAGAGAGACATTTGTGCTTCTACAGAGCACCTCAAAGGAACATCCCCCCAAGCGATTCCCACTGTGTTCAGGGGAAACCCTCATAAAGATTGAAAGCTTTACAAGAAAATGTCTTTTCATCATCATGCAGGTGAAATAACTTGGGGCACCTGGAGTACCTGCTTTGGTCTCCTCTTGCAGTCCTGCCCTACTGCAGAAGGTCCCAGCAGCCAGTACCTGGCTCGCAGAGATGGCTGGCTTGAATCAAATTTTCTGCATATGTTTGCACATCTGTGTTTGAGAACTTACACTAATGAATTCTTAGCTTATAAACAGAAAGTCTTACTATTAAAGTGAAAGAAATTATTTAGATTACTGTTGAGAGAAGCCCCAGATCTCATCTTCAAAAGCTCCATCATACTTTTCTCACTCTGCCCGCTGATGACCCTGGAGTCACTGGACTTTCAGACTGGTCACAGGAGAACATTTTGATACCCTGACACACTTCATCTTGCTCTCTGAGCTTCTGGGAGCCTAAATCATCCACTGGATGAAGCCTTACCTGAAGTTTCCAGGAGAACCAGTTTGTCTCCTTTGAACCCAGTATCCTCACTTGAAACAAGTAGCATCTAAACACTCTTATCATATCCCAGTGCTAACGTTCTCATACAACACATATTTTTCTTCTACAAGCAGCAAACTATATTCCTACTGCTATAAATACAGTATGTTCTTTGGTTCCCTCCTTGGAAAAATGTCAGGTTCATTTGTCATGTCTTAACTTACATTAGGCAAGATTTCCAGTCCCAGATTTCATATATATAATGTATACAAAAACAGATTGAAGAGGAAGGATTAAAGAAGCAAAATTACATCGAAGCAATTTAAACTGATGCCATCCTGCCTGTATAGAGGAAACTGAATTTGAAATCCTGTCCTGTTTCTTCTTATCTAATTTAGATTCTACATCAGACACAAAAAAAAGGGGAGACAGGCTCAGCAGCTCAAGGAAGCTAAGACAACCAAGAAAATAAGTGCTGAACCCAGAGAGACAGCAACTGATCTTTCACTGCAAAAAGGAATACATGAAAAATTCAGAATTGACGTTATTCTCTGTTTAATGTATATTTTAATTGTATACACACACACTTCTGAATATTAAATATTATATGCAGAAATTGTAGCCTTTTTATGAGGAATGCACAACTAAAGATCAAGAAGGAACAAGGATTTGCATGCTCAGCCACACAGAATAGGATGCACACACCATACCTACATACACCCAGGAAAAATACACACAGAGCTTGTGACTTTGCTTTTTGCAAATAAGCTAAATGGTGGCACACATGTTCTTATCTATTTCTAGATTTATTAAGCCTACCATTCACTAAGCAGCTAATGGCAGATCTTAGTTTAAAATGCAGACCATACTTCAGGATCCTGGGAAAAAATGCTGCCGTACACTGGACGCAGCACAGGGTACTGATGGGAGCTTGGAGAAATTTAAATCTTCTAGGAAAATTAACAGGTAGGCAACATCTACAATCAGCAGTTGAACTGATTAGACAGCAGAACAACTTTTATAGGTGAACTTTAGCTTCCAGGGCACAGTGGCCTTTTGGAAAAGAAAACATCTGTTCAGAGTGAAGCCTCCCCCCGAGAAGGTGAAGGTGACACCCTGAGACACAGTGTAAGACCAAACCTAGAAGGTATTCAAGTGCTGGTTCCCAGGACATAAAACCAGTGGTCAGACACTGACATCTCCTGCAGGTCCTTGAGCCTGGTGCTGGCCCTTTTGCAGGCAGAGGGATTCATGGGGCACTGAATATTGCCAAATAGCAGGGCATCCAACAGGGACTTTTATTTCACACTCTGCTTCTCTGATTGACATGACCCCATTCTGTACACCCCCATGGCAGTATCTTCCCCAATCCTCTTGGAGTGTGGAAATGAAGGAATTTAACCTTAAAGCATGGATGATCATTTCCTTTTTTCATTTTAATCTTGGACTAAAATCACTTGGTCTCTTACGCTGGAATTTCTCTTTCTTTAGTCTTGAGAAACACATCAATCATTTTTGGTCAGAAGTATGAGGAATGAATTGGTGTATGTTTGAATAGTAAAAGAATTACATATTTTTATATATTTTATACCCTACCCAGGCTTTGAATTAGCCAACGTATTCTCATGAAATAAAATAAGGCTGTTTTAAGACTTATTATTTAAGACTTTTAAGAAGAAAATTCATTTAGACTGCAAGCCAGAGTTCTACAGCAATCCACAGTTCAAGCCATCTGCCTAATAATATACCCATAGTTATAAATGATTCATTAAGAAATACGTGGGGCTCCTCAATGTCTCCACCACACATTTCCTTGCTGCTTTGAGCAAGGCATTTAACCTCTTTACTTCCATTTCTCCACCTCTGAACCAGCATAACAACAGCCTTGCAGGATAATTACAAGAGCTGATTTGTTTGGTTTTTTTTTGCCAAGTGCTTGGAACATGAAAAGCTCAAGATGAATTGCCTAATGCTTTTTTTTTCTGATAATACTCAGAACACCCTTAAAAAGCCACCACGAAAGTGAGATTGCTTTTAGTCATCAACTGAACACCAGTGTTGAGCACAGCCAGGCCAAGCTCTGGCAGCATGGGTTTGCCCATGCCCTTCACCCATCAGTCCTGTTCTCATCCATAGATGCCAGCACCCTTGTGCGAGCTTGGCACGCCACGACAACTGTCAGACAACCACCAAGTTTATAAGGACAGCAGAGAGCATTAACTTGCTGCAATTTCCTGGAGAATGCCTTTGGATGACTAAAATAGAAATAGTGTATTGTTTGAGCAAATCTGTGCCTTCCCTTCAACAAAGCTTAGACTAGAAGGACTTCAGAACATTTTTTGCGTCATCCTCTGGACATTTACTTCAAAGTACGTGAAAGCAGAATTAAGACTTTCAATTATCAGTTATCCCAGATTCTGAACAGAGGAACAGTAGTTGCTTTTGGCTCGCAACAGTGTTTTTTCTATCCTATACTGCTTATGGCCCATCCTGGGACTGCCAGATGTCCAGGAACTACAGATGAGCCGTGACTCCCCTGCACCACCACCCTGCAGTCACACATGTGCTGTGCAACTCAGAATTAGGTGTGGGACCAAGTATCCGCCGTGGAAAGGACTTTCAGTTCTAGAAAAAATGCTGAGCTGTTACCTCTTCCCCTCCTCTTCTGGGACTTTTAACTTGAAACTAAAGTGAACATGGGAATATTGCTAAATAACGATGGCAGCAGCAACCATGTCCTGTGACTAGTAAAAATATAAATTAATTGAAAAAGTGTTTGCCTTTGGAATGCACCAAACTGTAGCAAAGAGCCTATAATATCCCACTGTTTCCCAACGTGGGACATCCCCAGGCCTTCCTTCCAAGGGTTTTTAGATCCCAGCTGCAGATTACTCAAGTCAAGCACTGCTTAGCACTCATTAATATGCATTAAAGAATAGAGCAGAAGACACTTAATCAAAAGGAAATTGCAGTTCAGAGAATCAAAACCTCTGCTAAGGTTAGCGAGGTGGTTATTTAGAAGTGAAAGCCACACAAGGAAGGCAGAGAGTGACTGGCCTGCCTAATGAAGACAAGAATTACATCGATACGCCACAAATGAGTCCATTGCAATACACAAGGCTGGGGTTTAGAGCACCACTAATCTTTTTTGGGGGTATCAGGGCTCCTGCGCATTCCTGAAGACCTGCTTCCAAAGCTTGCAAGGACCACAGGATCTACAGATACCGGCAATAGTGGTGGCCACGTGGATCCTTCTCTATCACTCAAGCTTTACAAGGCAAGTCCAGTCTGCCATTGGGTCACCATCTCCACTTGGGGCTTTCTGCCCAAGGCAGTTACACCACTCCCATCCCGCAATGGAGACCTCCTCTCTAGCCCAGGAGACCTGCCAATAGAGCTCAGCTGAAAAGCTGGTCTCTTCTCCAGTCTCCTCAACATCCCCAACTCTTCTTGCATTTCTAAAAGCATTCTTTAAAAGTCTAATTTGACAGAAAAACTGCCTGACATATTTAGATCTACAGAAACCTCCAGGTTTTGGAGCGTTAGCTCCTGTGGATAATTAAATGTCTCGCTAGCTCTGCACTTGGTGAGCGACTTAATTGTCTCCTCATTCCCATTCCCATCACAGCTCCCTGTTCTAGGCTGTAATGAAGCAACCCTTCTTGCTGCTGCTTCAGGACTCCAGAGCTTCAGCCCATCCTGTAACCGCAAGTTTAATTAATGTTCATTTTCTTCCTCATTAGTACAGCTTTACAAAGTTTTTCATTGCCATAGAAAGGCAGATTTACTTCCCAGTCTCCAAGCACATGA